TCCCGGCCCCAGGCCCCCAGCCCCACGACCCCGGCCCCAGGAGCCCAGACCCAGGACCCCCAGCCCCAGGAGCCCAGACCCAGGAGCCCAGGCCCCTGGCCTCACCTTCGCCCGCTCTTTCGTTAACCGAGGCCAGGCCTGCCCGGACTCTCCTTTCCGTAAACAGCACAGGATGGATCTGTCTGTTCTTTTATGCTTTGATTCCTGGGGACGAAAACCACCACGAGCTGCAGCAGGGGCTGCTCAGCCCCCTCCCTGGGTCCCAAACCACCAATTTTAACTCTTTAATTACAGGGACTCCCTCACGGACCCGAGCCAAGGACCAATTGACCCCCCTGGACCCAAGTTAAAGCACAATTCGGGACACGAGCCCCCCCAGAAGCGGACGAGGTTGGTCAGGACGCGGCACCGAGGGCCCAGGACGCCAAGGGGACGCTCACGTTGGGATCGATGCTGTTGAAGAGGTCGATTTCGTTTAAGTGTTTCAAGTTGTCGCTTCCCCCCAGGCAACTGCGGAGAGAAAAGGAAAAAACATTTGCGTTTAGGACCGAGCCCTTAAATCCCTGCTCCTGAGCCAAAAATGCGGCCCCAAAACCCCCCCCCTTGGGCCCAGGGCCCTCACCTGAAGGTGAGTTTGGACTTTTCGAAGTTGACGTGGACGTCTCTGCTGTCCTCGACGCAGAACTCGACGAAGACGTAGTCCCTGCGGTCGTACCACTTGGCGGACGCGGGCTGCCTGCGGACGGAGCGTTTGCAGACGTTTAACCCCCCTTTTCCTGTCCCTTACCCACCCTAAAACCGCTCGGATTCGCCCTCAGCATCGGCTCCCTCCCAGCTCGGGGGTTTTACTGCACGGAGAAGCTCACCCAGAAGCATCGCGACTCCTAAACCAGCTGGGTTATTACAGAACAACCTGAGAGAGGCGCTCAGGGCTGGAGAACGGGCACAGAACAGGGAGGGGTGCGACGCGTCCGGCGCAAACGCCCCCGAAAAGCTGCAGGATCCCGGCCCT